AAGTTCAGCTCCAACCCTAATCAAACACACCTGAAGCAACTAATTAGGGTCTTCAGGATCACTTTAAAATTAAAGGCAGGTGTCTTTGATTAGAGTTGGAGCTAAACTTTGCAGGACAGTCGATCGCCAGGAGCAGGGTTGGGCACCCCTGGTCTAGATCCTTAATATTACACATCCTCATCACAGCTGCAGTGTTTATTTATGGAGACTTTGTTCATTTCCCTGTGCTTTCGTGAGGCATTGCAGTTCACCAGCAGTATGTGCTGATGGTTTAAGCAGTTAACGCAGTTTCTCTAGAGAGGGAGCCGAGAGTAAAGTGGCATGATTATAAGCCTCAGCCCAGTACTTAATTTAGCTACAAACACTTAGATGTCTGACAGATATCTTAAACTGTCTAAGGGACTCAGTGATGCTAGTCAGCTAAAATGTAGATTAAAGTTTAATAAACATCTCATGGTTTGTTGCTGGGATGCTTGGAAGGATTTAAAAGAATTTAATTCACCCAAAAATGAATATTCTGTCATTATTTACTCACCTTTATGTTGTGCCAAACCTGCATGACTGACTTTTAGTAGGAGATGTGTGTGTATGCTGTATTAGCATTCTACTAAGCGGAGATGTTTAGTAGAATGTGAACCAAAAAAATTTACCAAAAAAGGTGATTCAAATTAAGTCTTCTAAAGCTGTATGATAGTTTTCGGTGAATAACAGACCACATTTTTTTGCCCTCCCAATCTATTGTACTTTCTATTGTCTATTGCATTTTCAAACTACCCTGTCATGATACATTACCACTAGCCTAACAGATTTTGGTGTTGTTTACATAAAATGTGGTGCAACTTTTGGAGATTTGGTGATTTTCAGTGCCTAACGGCATAAAGTTTAGTCATCTTCTTTGATCTAAATTCACACATAACACATTTTGCACAGTCTCTTTAAAAAAAAAAAAGTCAAGGGAGAAATGTTGCGTGAAATGCAAGCTAATGTATGAAGCTTCCATTAGCCTGAGCATTTCATTTGAAACGTAAAGAGACTAATTTAAGTACTGACATTAAAAAGTCGTTAATGTCTTTCTCCCTCATCCACAAACACGCAGCATACACACCATCTTGCATCATTTGTGTTGCCGTTATGCTCTTCTCATGATGGCTGGGTTTTGTAGAGCGTGCCAGTCCGCCAGAAGCATATCCACTTACCGAGTTCATCTCATTTCTTAGTGGATTCAGGTTTCAGGGTTCCAGATCTGAGAGCAGATGAGTGATCAGTACTCACGAGAGCTTTCTTATGCAAAGAACCTAGAGATGCTGGCAGTGAATCAGCTCCTGTCTCATGTGCAGTCATGTCCCCTCGGATGACATCACCTGTGGGAGTCGTGCATGCACACGCTCTGCTATGTTTGGCATTCTGCTCACACACGCATGCCCACGTATGTCAGAAAGATTAAAGGGAAAAGAACAGACCGCTGCAGAGAAATAATGTGCTAGTGTTCCCTGTTTATTCTTCACCACACATTGTCTTTGTCTCGCTCTTTCTCCTCCTCTCGTGTCCCCCGTCTTCAGTCACACACTCTTTAGGTCAGTGTGTTAGACAGCCTGGCCTGCTGCCAGGAGCTGTTGGTGAGGTAAGGACTCCTAGATCTGCTCTTGCAGTCTGGAATGGGAAAAATAAACACAATAACCACAACATAACTCCCACACTCCTCTCGCTACTATGTCAGTTTCTTTACTAACCAGAAGCATTGCAGACTATTTTGTTCTTGCAGAGGATTTTAAAGTGGGGATATCATGGAAATGGGATTTTTTAAATAAGGGTTCAGTCTACCAGTCTACCAAGCCCATATATGGATTTTTTTCTACATGAGTGTTTTCATTTTTGGCCTAAATGGCACACTCAGCCCTCCTCAAATTTTCTGATAATTAAATTCCATCCGATGCCTATAATTATTGTTTTTAAGTTATGGCCAACAACCGATAAATGCCTAATATTGACATTTCTAATTGTAATTAAATCTAAATTACTAAAAATTAAAATCACTCCATTTAAATACTACAAATTAATTGCACAATTCACATTACAATTGAATGATAATCAATATGGTAGTGATATATTGCAAAATATTAATATATTGACTGTCAATTTTCAGTTAAAATATTTTTATTAGGTTTTTTTATTTTTAGAATTTATACAAATTTGTATAGCACTTTTCACAATATTGTTTCAAAGTATGTTTGCAAAAAAAGTGTATGTTTTCAGTTTGTCATGCATATATCTGTACATAAAATGCAAAATAATTCATAATTATTTGTATAATACATATTATATATATATATATATATATATATATATATTATATAATTCAATTTTGCTTATTATATTTATTTTGTCTCATATTCAGCATATGACCTCTTTACTTGGCGATGCCTGAAGTATGTGGAGTTCCAAAGTGAATGGTATGGTCTTTTGCATATTGATTTCTTAAGGGTATTATTCAAAACGGGCTCAGAGAGGGTATAAAATGATCAGGTAAAACTAAATGAATGCTGTTATTGGTCTCAGAAACCTCGACTAACATTATAAGTGGACTTCAGGGAACAAGAAATGCTAAGTGTAGAATGTGACCCTTTTGATGCACACTCAAGCTTACTGGGCAACTCTGTTTCTCTAATGCTACTCAAATTGTTTGGAGCCCAGCATGGAGATGAACCATAAAAGCTGGCCGTTGATTGCAGATGCATTATCTGATGTGTGCTTTGGATTTGGACTGCCGACATCACACATCAGTGACTGTGAGTTTCCTTATAAAGACACAAGACAGCGGTTGCATGGGGCCGCCCCTTGATTCTGAGAGGGCGCAGCTTGTGGTTTATTAGGCGCAGCTATCTGGTTTCCGTCGCTGCAGGGAGGCCTGGGAGATGGAAGGGCCTGCTGCCTAATCACAACCAGCAAGAGCTTCCTGGCACCCCTCGTCCACGTCAAAAAAACGTGCAGTGCAACTTCTCCTGTCAGGCTCAGATGAAGCCCTTAAATCGACCTCAGACCAGCTGCTGCTTTCCCCGCCCTCTGTTGATTGAGTGTGTATGTGTGTGTATTTAGTTTCTTACGCCAAACCACTACCTTCTTTTTCTTCTCCTGCATGTGGCCGTCAGGAGTGTAAGAGCAAATGCTGTAGTGGGTGTATTCGGCATGCGTGTCCCACATCTGGCAACCCCATTCTTTTGGTTAGGGGCTTAAAGAAGGGGCCTGAAATGTAATGCGCTAGTTTCTCAGCACAAAAATGAACCGATACACGTTGCGTTACTATCTTGAATGTAGTCTCACTAAACAATCTTCTTCTTTTGGGTGTGTTTGTGTGCAAAGGGAAGTCCAAGTTGACCCACATGATGTTTACTATTGAATGTGTTAATTCACTTTGACGTTACACCGGTTTTGTTCTATTCTGTGTTATTTGTAAAAAGAGCAGAAAAGTTTATTAGTATAAGTAAGGACACATCGGAGCAACAGGTCAGTGCCAAAAACATCTTATGAAGGTAAGAGTATGAAGTACATAATGCATGGGTATTTTATTATTTAAATAAATGTGTTAATGCAGATTTGTAAAAAGTTTAGTGAATGTCCCATGCATTTTGAGAAGGGTACTTTTTTTTTTTTTTTTAAATATCATTTACTTCGATGTTGACTTAATTAGGACATGGAAGGACTAGAATAAAACAATTTATTTAGGCTACATAAATATTTAGAAAGTAATTTAGACTATATAATCCGCCCAAAGCAGTCGCACACACAATTTTTTCTTTAATGCATTAACCCTAACAAATAAATTAATAATTATTTTAATCGATTGATAGCTCTAATTAGTGCACATGCCATTTAAAATAATGCATCTTTGCTATGTCACTTTTTTGTTTTTGAATAATTTATGCAGCAATCATTAGTGATTGTATTCATCTCTCCAAGAATGCAAGGACCCCTGCAGCCTTATTGTAGAGTTGCTCCACTAATAGGTACTCCGCTTTACTGTCAATGCCCAGACTTGTTAATGGTGAGCATTGGCTTGCTGATGATGACTGCATGTAAGTCAGCTGTGGCAGCACTTCAGTCTTCAGTCTCTCTATCTAGGGTGAGTGTAAAACATCTGAACGAAGACATCTCTCTAGAGAGCGTGTAGAGACATGAACATCCCTAGAGCGGATGGGAAAGTTCAGATATTCTGTTACTTGCTGTTATAACACTATAAAATCTGTAAAAATGTGACAAGGGGAAGGAACTCAGCTGTTTGGGGCACTATACTTTAATAAATTGTTGGGGAGGTGTGATTTTAGTTAGGCTTAAACGTTCATGTAAATATGATGTCTGTTCTGTTCCCTTTTTTGTTCTGGTAGTAGACTTAATCAGTAACCTGGAGAGTGTTTGCAATTTGCCACATTTTAAAGTTGTGATGTAATGGAACTAGCAACATATCTTTTCTTCCATGTTGTGAGTAAAACGGTTCTATCCAGCGGTTATTGATTGGATGGAGGCAGATATTAATGCAAGCTTGTAGCTGATTGTAAGAAATGGGTGGAATTTAAGCTGACTAAATGATTGGAGAAGTCTGTCGTGGAAGATCGAGTTAAGACATTTTGAGTTAATTACAAAATGTAATTGCTTTTGATTAAAAGCTGAAAAAGGAAACCTGGGTAGATGGTTCAAAGTAAGATCAATAAGATGCATTTAACAAATAAATTGGTGGATTTCCATTTCGTGCTGACTTCTGCAGTTATTAGTGGTGCTTTTAAAGAATTATCACGGGTTTTTAGTTCTAGAATTGACTTCTATTGTATCTATTACTTCTGTTATAACTGCTGTTGAAAATTGTTTTCATCTTAAAGTGTAGCATAGATGTTTTTAATGTGCACATTTTAGTACATCAAAACAATCCTGACAGTTGCAAATGTTTCTGGAGTTCGTTTCTGCATTAAATTGTGGATGAATTCATGGATAGCTGTGAAGGGTGACTTTACTGACAGACACACGGTTCATCCACCCTTAGAATGACCTCATAATGCTGAATTGAATGGTTTAATCCAACAATGGTACTCTTTATATCTCTTTCTCTCTCTATTTTTACTCTCTCCAATACTCATTTTCAAGAGGAACTTGTATTTATCCATTTTCCCAACTGGAGTTACATACTTTAGCTATAGAAATAGTCTAGTCCTTTCCAGTTCAAACACTCTGTATTTGCATTGATGTTATTTCTGGTGTGACGGAAAAACAGCCAGAACATTCTCAAGTGTTTCAGTGCTTCCTCAGGCTAGAACCGGCAACGCCCAGACTCATGTTTGGAGGGGGTCCCCCCGGGGGTCTCGCTGCGCCTCTCTCTGAATCACTGTTCCAGCCCGGGACAAAAGAGATGTGCCCCTGCTCTACATTCCGATGTGGAATTACACAGAGCACAATTCCATTCCCTCTGGTCTTCCTCTTTGGGCTCAGGGACCGTTTGATACAATATAGCGGGTCAGCCGAGCAGCCTGTGTAAACGAACGACCGCATTCCACATGCAACAGAGAGGAGAGAGAAATGCAGCTTCTCAGGCATTGTTCCGCCCTGCCTCCTGGCCAGCTTTGATTTAGCTCTGCAGCAGGAAGTGCTCGCGTTGCACTGGATTGGAGAGTGACTATAATCAGCTGAATCTGGACTGTGTCTTGTTAACTGTCAGTCTATGCAGTTGTAAAGAGCTCACTCTTTTCTCCAGGAATGGGATTTGTGCAGTAGGCACCATTAGCTTGTTTATCTGTGCTTTGTGTGAATGCTGTGACTTTCTTGTGTGGGAGGTTTTAACCGTGTGGCCGAGATCTATCAGAAACACATTTCATAATGAAGTGCTGATAGCTTGTTATCTCAGATGTTTCAAAGTTTGAAGGAGATCTAGCTCAGTGGTTTTCATTAATTCTGCTTCTTTTAAAGAAGCTAAAAGTAGCTTTTGGGAATTTCAGTCACCCTTGAGGTCATGGATCTTATTAAACTGAAGCTGAATATTGCTGCTGTTGCAACTTGGGCTAGGTAAAAACATTTTCTCTCTTGTTACAGCCTTTTGCCAATATGCAATATGAATATATATTCAAATTTTCATTAAATCTCAGAATGTATGTGTACTACTTTTCAAAGGTTTGTTCTCTTGAGCACCAAATCAGCATATTCAAATATTTTTTGAAGGATTATGTGAATCTGAAATCTGGAGTAACGGCTGCTGGAAATCACAGGAATGAAGTGCATATTAAAATATATAAAAATAGAAAATAGTTATTTTAAATTGTAATAATATTTCACAATATTGCAGTTTTTACTATACTACTTATACTGATGCAAAACATGATTCAAAAACATGAAAAATGTAATGTACCCCAAACTTTTGAACAATGGTGTATTTGATTGGAAAAGATGTGTTACTGTGTTTTAATTTTTTTTTCTTCGATAATAAGAATGACTATTCTGGCCAAACAGCCTCTGGGCCTTTTTCATGAAACATCAGCAAAAAATAAAATAAAATAAAAATCTGTGTTCGTTAATTCTTATGTAAATTGACCAAATTAAATTAAATGTGTCCATTTATGTAAGAATGTTTTTATGTATGATTTATGCAGAAAATTCTTCTGCTTGCATTTGGTTAATGAAAGAAATAAAATACATTAAAATTCAAGTTAAACTGGGATATTTTCTACAGTTTTTCCTCTAAATGAACACAACTAAATAAATGTAATTTTAATACATTAAAAAATAACACACATGGACTTCTATGAACATTTCTGAGCGATGAGGCAAATTAACCATTAAATCAATTAATTGAAATGGACAGTCTGGAAAAAGTGATGTGTAAATGAATCTAACTTCCCAACACACAATTTTTCTACATCAGTTAGCTACATCAGAGATGCTGTTTAAATGTTTCTGTTTTAGCTCTCTCATAATGAACATTAAAGTCACAGCAGTTATTCATGATGATGTTTACTTGTATATCAGGAACACACAAGCATACGTTGGGCAATAAATTAGGCATTTATTATTGCCAGCATGTCTTGTTCTCATATAGTGGCCTCTCTCATCTGTGTGTATTGCATCAATTAATCACACTTGAGCTGATAGGATTCATTGCTCTGTGTTTCAGGTTCATTTGGGTTAATGTGTGTGGGATTTTATTTGCCTATAATGGATTATTTTCCCATCAGAGGTGTGCGTTTTGACATTACCCATGTTCACAAATGCCATCTGAGTAACGAAAGAGCAATGACCTTTGACCCCAAATCATCTTGTGGCCAGAAACCCTGCGAAGTCATTGAATTTTGATGGAGAAAACCCCATGGTAACTGACTTATTGCAGGTATAAGCGAAATACTAGACCTTATGTCTCCTGGGAAACATTCATTTCTGTGAAGTGCTTATTTCATGGTAATTTAACATCAGATCCAGTCAAACTGAAAGCGGTATCTCTCCATGACTCAGTATAAGTTTCTCCAGAGCTGAACACTCATGACGTTATTAGAAATCTGAAGCAGCGCACTGCATGTGTTCTGACACGCAGGGAATGATTATGCCATTGGCTCCCTGATTCCAGGCTCATTTTTGTGACTTCCAGCATAGTTTGTTCAATCATCTGCTGGTGTCCGCAAACAATGAATTGTTGGTGCCTTAATCCTGTTAGAATGTTTGGAGTAATTCCCAGCCATCAGAAAGATTATCCAAGAACGTTGGGGCATTTGCACTGACAGCGATTTGCATCAATAGAGCAAATGCAAGTCATTCAGTTCCGTTGAGAGTTCTCCAGCACAGACTGTTGAAGATACAGTTCAAGTTGAACGTACCACAAGACATTTTACAACTTGATGTAACACTGCCTTGTCATAAAAAGATCATATCAAGGATATTATAAGAGAGTTATTGGCCATGACAGTTTTTTTTTTCTGAATGTTTCTGCATGTTGGTTGCACCCAGTGTAAAAATATGTACTATTACAGTATTTTTAATATATTAACATAGCTTTTATTTTTGTATTTTCAGTTTTCATTTTAATTTAATTTGAGTATTTTTGTGCGTTTGTCATTTTTATTTTATTTTTTACAAATATTTATCTTTCTTTTTTCAGCTAAAATGTGTTTTAGTGCTTCAACTAAAATGTTTTATTTCAGTTCCAAGGCACCATTTCATTTAAGTTTTTAATCAAATTTTATTTCAGCCTTTTTAACCAAATTTGCCAAAATTAACCAAAACAATTTTAGTTTACAACAAAATTGGTTACACCAAATGACTGTTTTGATAGACAGATGTTTTTCCTCTTTCTCTCTATTTTAAAATATTATTTTTTAACTATTTTCCAAGAACAACCGCTTAAAGGGGTCATATGATGCGATTTCAATTTTTCCTTTCTCTTTGGAGTGTTACAAGCTCTTGGTGCATAAAGAAGATCTGTAAAGTTGCAAAGACTAAAGTCTCAAATCCAAAGAGATATTCTTTATAAAAGTTAAGAGTCAGCCACGCCTACCTAAAACGGCTCATTCTAACACATGTCTACATCACTATGTGGAAATATTAGCATAATGCCGCCCAAATGTGCACGCAAAGAAAGAAGGCGTGGTTTCAGGAACAGCAGTAGTGTTGATGCAACCATGGCAGGGAGACGCTGTGCTGTTACACCAAATACACAAAATAATGATCTTTAAAATAGCATCATATGACCCCTTTAATAAGAAAAGATAATTCTTTTCCAGAATTTATCGATTTACTGTTTTTTTATGATACAAGGACAGATGTCCACCCTGACAACTTAGACTTTGCACCCCCAAAAATATTAAAATTAATTTTGATTCAGAAATTATAAACATGTGCATCATAAGAGATCTGTAGTCAAGTAATTCAATTTATGAGTCAGATGAACAGACGAATAGATCCGGACAAAAATACACAATACAAAATACATGACCCTAAGCAGTCACTTAAAAACTACTACTAGCAACAAAAAGTACAGCATCACAATCTGTATGCACTTACATGAAATATTGGCCTTTAAATGCACATGCTGAATGGGTTAAATTATCCTCCCTTCTTGAGTTTTTAGTATTTGTGAGTCATAGATTAGTCTTGCGCCTGTCAGGAATCATGCCAGGATCTCTGTGGCCTGATCGTGCCTCACTGAGAAATGACAAATGATGGGTGAGAGGTTGAGGTGAGTCCTGGGAATGGGCTGAAGCGGCGATGGGGCCGCAGGTCATTGAAACTCCCCAAAACCCCAAAGCATTGGACCATATGTTTCTGTCTGAATAAGCAGAGTGCAATATCTCACTCTGACACCAGGCTTGACCCATCTACCATTTAGTTCCAAAGTGTTCAGTTGATGTTGCATCCCATTTTCAAAGCACCAGCGGGGACCGTGGAGGTCATGACCGCTGTCCTCGCAGATCCACATATCAGAGAATGGCCTTTTTAGGCGATAGACACAACCTTGGATTCTTGCCTTTAATGGGGAAGGTACAAGGCAAGTCTTTCGCTTGATTCTGTTCATCCTTTCCCCTTTCACATTGAATCGCGCTGCATTTAGACTCAGGATCCAAACCAAAGGTGTTCTGAGAGTCTGTATGGCCCTGGACTTGTCATGTGAAGGCTGTTTGTAAAACTTCCTCATTGGCCCGAAAGAAACTCTGAAATTATGTGAACGCAAATGATTTGAGCTGTGCATGCTCAGTTACAGCTGCTGATATTATAAAGAAGAAAAACGACGACGCCAATAGCTTCATAGGCAGCACTCTGACATATAGCGCTGTGGTTCTTTGGGTGTCGTTGCGCTGCGGGCGTCCCGATCTTATTCCTCTCTCTCTTCCACTTTACTTCCTGTCAACAAACTGTCCTGTCTTAATAAAGCCAAAAATGCCAATCAATTAATTGATAGATAGATGGATGGATAGCCTTTTTTTTTTTTGACAGTCTTGTTAAAATATATATAAAAAGACATTTTAACTTTGGAAAATATATGCTAGTGGTCAAA